AAAAAAAAAAACAAACTCATTGACCAACAAAGTCCCATGTAAAGAGATTTTTGATAAATGAATAAGAATCAGAAAACTCCCTCATATAGAAAGAACAATTGTCCATTTTAATTGCCTTGCATGTGATAGTATTCTGCCCTCCTGTGTCCAGGTATCTTCTGCTGAATGGATCTTGTGATCCAGGTGTAGGGGTCTGGGTTTGGGTAGAATGGTAGTTGGATGTACCTTTTCCTTGAATTTTCTTCCTGCACTTGCCTAGAAAGATCCAGATATATCTCTGATCTTGTCTACTTGCCCAATCTGAAGGAGACATTCACACATTCTGAACTTTGCAAAGCCACTCCAGTAGAGGAATGAAAAACCTGAGAGAACTGCATGGACACCATCCATTCAATTGCAGCTTCATGTTCAGGGATTTCTTCAACATCAACTCACAGAATTTGAACTCTCCTTCAGTCATGTGTGTCAGGACTTCGCATGTCTTGTTCCAATGTGTGTGATTTTCTAAAGCTTTAGATTCCCCAAAATGCAGCCTCCACGTCAGAACTTTGCAACAGCAGAATAAAAGTGACTTTGAGCAACGCATTGCTAATAAACACTATCTTCCAACATGGAAACCAATGCCATAATGAAATTCCCCATGGTTTTAAGACCTGTTCTGTCCTGTTCACTTTCGTTAAATATGATATCCTTTGGTACAAAAGAGCCATCTCATAATAAAATAGGTTGAGATAGTACTTTGTGAAGGAGTGGAATGGCACTAGTGGAATTCTGCCACAGATCAGGCTCCACTGGTTCTGCAGTCAGCTGTGCGACTTTTATTGTGTTTCTGAAGTCCATTTGAGGCTCTTGTGTGTGGCTGCGGTTACTGCCTTTCAGAATTCATCTCCAGAGATGTGGTGAGTTCCTCCAGTCTGTCGCATTTATTAGACCTGTGACATTTGTCATGATGCATTCATACCAATGTCAGTGATTGTCAGTTCCAGGGCTGAGCTGAATGAACTAATTTTAATTGAGGATTAGGGAGCAGAGTGACCAAGAAAGAAGGAGATGCAGGTAGACAGAGATGGATTCCCTTCATGCTGGGTCATTCCCCAAAAGGTCTCAGGCTGCCTGTGGCCTGAACGCAGGACCATGAATTCCACTTGTGTCTCCCATATGGGATGCAGAGGACTCAAGGTCTTGGACTGAATTCTACCAGCCTCACATGAGCAATGGTTGGGATCTGGATGGAGGCAAAGCAGCTGGGCATGAATGGGTGCATTAACAGAGGAGGGCGACGTCACAATGCAGACCCCCAAAAACCTGTCATCGAATTTTACAATTTCACTTTTACCTGAACTTTCTGAAATGGCCATGTATGAGTGTGTGTGTGTGTGTGTGTGTGTGTGTGTGTATCAAATGTAGTCTGTATGGTTACAGCCATAACAGATTAACTTTTTCTTTGAGTGCAGGGAATAATTAGTAAGCTTTATTCAATTTCATCTGGCTACATAAATATAGCTTCTTACTTGAGGAAATCAGCCATAAATTGTGCAACTGGTTTCAACTTTTTGTGTCCTTTCTCAATATAACTCAGGTAAAAAATAGCAGTTACCACTTTCAGGGGATGTGAGAATTTTTATGTTTATTTTGACCAAGGAAGTAAATTCTTTCCCTAATGAAAGCTAACATTGTTTAACATGCATATTAAACTACTCAACATATTTATTTAATAGATTAAATATGTAATATTAAACATATAATGGGCCCGGTGCAGTGGCGCAGGTGGTTAAGGTCCTCGCCTTGAACGCCCGGGATCCCATATGGGCCCCGGTTCTATCCCGGCAGCCCTGCTTCCCTTCCAGCTCCCTGCCTGTGGCCTGGGAAAGCAGTCGAGGACGGCCCCAAGGCTTTGGGACCCTGCACCCGCGTGGGAGACCCAGAGGAGTCTCCTGGCTTCAGATTGGCATAGCATCGGCCGTTGCGCTCACTTGGGGAGTGAATCATTGGACGGAAGATCTTCCTCTCTGTCTCTCCTCTCTGTATATCCACCTTTCCAATAAAAAAAAATAAAAATAAATCTTTAAAAAAAATTAAACATATGATGATATATATACTAATATGTTTAACTATATATATATTCAGTATATAATATGTTAGGTAAGTTTAGCTATATTAATATGGTTAAACTAATGTTGTATTAAACTAAAGTATGCATGCATGCAAACAGTAAATAGTTTATGCCTTATCTCTTTGTACATTTTTATTAAATTTTGTAAGTATAATTGCAGTAACACATTCCTGCCTTCATTCATTCTTGCCTAGCAAGAATCTGGTATTCCCCAGATACCTTCCATCCATTTTTCCTTCATTTTTTTTTAAGATTTCTTTTTATTATTTTTTTATTGGAAAGGCGGATATACAGAGAGGAGAGACAGAGAGGAAGATCTTCCGTCCGATGATTCACTCCCCAAGTGAGCACAGCGGTGGATGCTATGCCGATCCAAAGCCAGGAGCCTCTTCCGTGTCTCCCACGCGGGTGCAGGTTCCCAAAGCTTTGAGCTGTCCTCGACTGCTTTCCCAGGCCACAGGCAGGGAGCTGGAAGGGAAGCAGGGCTGCCGGGATTAGAACCGGTGCCCATATGGGATCCCGGGCGTGCAAGGCGAGGACCTTTAACCACTTGCGCCACCACGCCAGGCCCATCCTTCATTTTTTTAACAATGTATTCTTACTCTCCTCTATAGTCACAGCTTAGTGCACCAGTGATCATCATATTCAACAAGTACAAAATTAGAAAAAACACTATTTCCCAGGAGTAGAAACAACAATCAAATCTCAAGATATCTTTTCCATTATTACACCATTTGTGTACTAAATTTAACTACAGCTTGTTAGTAGAAAATCAGAAACATTGTCTTTAGGGAATTGGCTTGTTCAACAACAACAAAAAAAAAAAACACATTTTAAGGTGAGGAAATAAATGTGTGTTATTGAGATTGCCACAGAACAGGAGAAACAGAAGGAGGATTCACCTGAGTCCATCATGGTTTCTTGGGAAACACCTGCTTTCTGCCCTGGCCAGAGTCCCAGGGGCCAGCAGGTGCTTAGAGGTCAGGGAGCTTCCCAATGAGCAGGTGCCTGGAGCTATAGGAGCTCAACTGCTTTGTTCCCTCAGACTGTGCAACCTTGTACTAGAAGCAGCCAGGTTGTCGTATTTGCTGCCCAAGTCTGGCTGAGGGACCAGAGCTTCCCTCTTTTATTCTGCTTTGTCTCAGGAGAATGTTCAGTCTCCCGCATCCACTGTTCCCATGCAGGTGAATCTGAACACAGCAGGAGTGTTCCCAGCCTAAGGACACAGAGTGTGTTCACAGGAGTCACTCAGGAGCTAAGCTAACACACCGGACAGTTCTGGGGTTGTTGAGTTGTATACTTATCTACGAATACAAATGTCAGTGATGGTCAAAGTGCAGGAAAATGTTGGATCTCCTGGCTCAATGATCATTGCTAATAGAAAGAAATGTGGGCCAGAAAAATCACCTCTGAGAGACAAGAGGCTTAAACTGCCTAGAGTACGTGGAGCCAACTTTGCAGGATTTGGAGGTCCGTTGGAGCAGAGAAGCAATTTTCTTTTTGTCAGGACACGTGGTGCAGTGAGGTCTTATTAGTTTTTCAGTGCGAGAGATTGGTTGTTCCCCATTCAAAACTAATTAGAGGAGGGGAAATGACAACCCACTGGCCCTGGAACAGCCTCTATACACTGAGTCACAACTGAGTCATAACTGACCCCCCTTCCCTGTACTAAAAGGAAAGGACCAGGCAGAGGGAAATGTCTGCGTGGAAATTCTGATGGGAGCAGCTGGTGGAAGACACAGGAGTAAGAGTTTTCTCTCTGTTCTCATCTGTGTTTTCAAATGATTCAATGTTAATGATGGAGTAAGAAGGGCTCCATCAAAGACATCTTCTTAACAAATATTGCGTCATCTGTGAGTTGGATACACTCAAGGCTTTCCAGTCACTTCCATGTCCTCTGCGATTTCACACTTTCCTGGTGTGCTCAGGTGAGAAAGTTTTATTCCTGTCTCTATTGTCTTTTCACATAGAAAGATTGGCCATTTTGACAGCCTTTTTTTTTTCTGCCATGAAGTTCTTTGATATGTACTTGGAGTGTTCTTTAGTGCAAAAGAAAAGCATATTTAAATGGTAATTTAGTTATGATCCAAAATGTCTGGTGCAAAAAATATTTCAATCCATACTTATAAGAGGTAATCAAAATTTTGAGAAATCTATTTTCCAAAATGCATACATAAAAATGAGTGATTCTGTCAGCTGCATTTTTAAGACATATGGATGGACCTTCTAAGTAATACTTAAGAGAACTTGTGAAAGCTTGTGTTTTTGTCTGTTGTCAAATCACAAACTCCACTGAAATTAAAATCTGCAAAAATTTGGTTCTGCAAACTGAGTCTTAATAAGTCACTTTTACATATAATTCTAATCTGTTCCACACTGAGTTGTTCTCATTTGACATCCTTTATGAGTCCTCCAGTATAGCTGATTGAACCATTTACTCACAGTGATGCACTTCTGCCTCTAGTTGTATGATCACATTAACGATCACTTTATCTATAAAAAACAGAATTCATCCCAGTATCTCTTAACATACAAAATACCACATATTATACATCACTTCATCTCCTGCTTACCTGTTTATGCATTTCCTTGGAAAATCTATAGTGAATTGGTAAACACCGATGAATAGAAATTTCTAGGGGTCAAAAAATATCTCATTAAATTTGAGAAGTATTTGATGTTTTAAGGAAGACCTGAGAGTGGGAAGGAATTCTTGGTCATTGATCCCACTGGGAAGGATAAAAATGGGACCTGAGCCATCTTCAAATGTGGAAGCCACATTCTGAATGGGACACATGCATTTTGGATTTCCACTCAGTTATTTCCATTCTCTTTGTATAAATATGCTTCAGGTAAACTACATCTTCCTGATAGAGTTGTATACTACATGAAACCGACAAACCAAACTCAGCTTTCAGAATTCCTTCTTCTGGGATTCGCAGAGTACTCAGCCCTGCAGCCTCTTATCTTTGGGCTGTTCCTCTCCATGTACCTGGTCACTGTAAGTGGGAACTTGCTAATTGTCCTGGCCATCCTCTCTGACCCACACCTCCACAAGCCCATGTACTTCTTCCTCACCAATTTATCATTAGTGGATGTCTGCTTCACCTCCACCACTATCCCCAAGATGCTGGTGAACATCCAGACGCAGAGCCAAGCCATCAGCTATGCAGGCTGCATCACACAGATGTTCTTCTCTCTGCTGTTTGGAAGCCTGGATGACTTTCTCCTGACCGTGATGGCCTATGACCGGTTTGTAGCCATCTGCCACCCTCTACACTATATGGTCATCATGAAATCCCATCTCTGTGTGCAGCTGGTTCTGGTGTGCTGGGTCATTGCTGTCCTGAATGCCCTTATGCAGAGCTTACTAATGCTGAGGCTGAGTTTCTGCTCACACATGGAAATCCCTCACTTTTTCTGTGAATTGAATCAGGTAGTCCAACTGGCCTGCTCTGACACTTTTCTTAATGTCCTCATGATTTATATTATATCTGTGCTGCTTGGAGGTGGTCCCCTAGCTGGGATCCTGTACTCCTACTCCAAGATCATCTCCTCCATCCGTGCCATCTCATCAGCTCAGGGGAAGCATAAAGCCTTTTCCACCTGTGCCTCTCACCTCTCTGCCGTCTCCCTATTTTATGGCACAGTCATTGGTGTGTACCTCAGTGCCAGTGCTGCCCCAAGTTCAGCCTCAACTGCCACAGACTCGGTGATGTACACAGTGGTCACCCCCATGCTGAACCCCTTCATCTACAGCCTGAGGAACGCAGACATGAAGAAGGCTCTGAAAAGACTGTTGTTTCATAAATGATGATGGAACCCACTGTTTTGGAGTTGAACAGTGTCAGTGACTTCACGTCTCTCACCTCGATTTTAGACATTGTAATGAATTTGTCAGAGGATGAAGCAGAGCTTGCTTGGTCTGTTCACAGTTTCCTATTATTATTATTATTATTATTATTATTATTATTATGCATTTCTCTGGGTACACTGCAAATAAATAACCCACTGCATTGTTATGTGTGTTTTCTGGTAGGTAAATACTTTCTTTCTGATTTTTCCTTTTTCTCATCTTTATTGACAACATTGTTTCAGAAATCCATGGAAACTCAAAAATTTCCTTGAAAAATGAGAGTCAATGAGGACGCTTTATATGCTAAATGACTTTTAATTTCATGTGTATTTTTTAGAGTACCTACACATTTTTACAATGAATTCATATATTTTTAAATTCTATTGAACTACCACTTATATTTGCTTTTGGAATGACATGCTTTATAATGCATATTCATATCCAGTTGCACCAAATTTAATGCAGAAAGATAAAATTTCATTATTTTGATGGCTGTGTGCCATTCCATTGTATGTGTGTACCACATGCTCTGTTAATGGGAATCTTTATTAGCATAGTCTTACGCATATGTTTTGATCTTTATGAGGTTAAGCATGTGTAACTGGAATATCCACATTTCTCATGATATTATTTCTTATCAAATAACATCTTACGATTCTGGTCAATGTTCTCCTTTATAGCTTAGGGGATCATTTTTTAGTTAACATAGGTTTAAGAATCACTATAGTAAATTTTTTTATTTTTTTAGTCCTACTAGAGCAGAAAACCACATACTATATGCTTTTTCTTATATATGATAGTCATATGTAATACAACACAAAAGCAAGGTATGTAAGAATGGAACTGGCATCTTGTGACTTGATTATTGTATTAACCTTTGTCAACGCTCCTGCACAGCAGTAGTCATTCTGGTTTTTACTTGATATTAAGACTATGATTAAAACATTCAAACTACTTTACTGCATACACAGTCAGAAGAAAAGGAAGAAATGGGATATTGAAATAGGGAGGCATGACTAATTTCTTCAAATTTTATTTATGAAAATCCTGAAACCTGTTCTCTTTCTACCTGTAAAAATTAAGAAATAAAAATTTAAAAAACTATGTATCATAAGAACATCCTCATCCATTTGTTCAACTCATTTGATGCAACGTTACTCTCCTCACTGCTGGATTAGAAATTTTCTGAAAATACCTGTTTCTTCATTGGTGTTCTGAGAATTCTTCTTACTCCTGGTAATACAATATGTTATTATAAATCTGTTCTTGTTCTAATTCTTCCCATGAGACTCCTAGAAGGTGATACATTTGAAGATAATGATAGTTTGCAAAAACTTTCAGAAGACACTGTACTTAATAAGATTTAAAATATCCACACATAATACCTTGACAGACAGCCATGATGGCTCAAGTAGCTGCTTTTGCCATGCCCATGGGAGAACAGGGTTGAGTCCTGGTTCCTGGCTCAGGCCTAAACTTGTAAGCCTTTCTCTGCCTCTGAAAAAGAATTTCCAAGTGATTACTTTTTCAAAGATTGACAAAACAATATTTGTAAAACTTCTGATCTGCAGAATTGTTGGCTGCAGAGTTGGTGTGGCCTGGGGTGGTTGTCTGCTCTGAGTTGACTCAAACCAGTGTTGACAATGTCTGTGTCCCCAGGGGGCCTCGTACACCCAGGCTTAGTGTGAGATCTGGCTAGGAATCGGGATAATGAGCTCCATCATAAATAGGACGAGGAGTGCCAGGAGAAGAAGCAAAGCTTCAGAAGGTTGTGGTCCTGCTCATGGCCATCACTAGCCAGCTTTGCTCCGAGTGCCCACTGGAAGACATGTGCATCTACTTGTGGCCAATGCTGTGTTGGGTGGCAGCCTAGAAGATTACTGCTAATTGCTGGAGCACCATTTACTCTGTGGCGGGAGTTAAACAATCTGTTAGCTGCACCATGAAACAAAACAAAACAAAACAAAACAACAAAAATCCAACTAACCAACCAACCAACCAATCCCTCAGTTGTGCAGGCTCTAAAGACTCTATCATCTTCCCATCTGTATCTACTCATGTGACGGTGGAAGCATTGTGTCAACATGCTACAGCCACATAAACCAAAACAACCTAGAAAAATATGTCATTCCTCTGAAACCTTGCATATTTATTGAAAAACACAGTGAAATTTCATTGTAATGGAGGTGGAGTTGACAAGAACATCTGATTATCTCAGTGACATATGTTTCCACATAACCATAATAGTGTTGCTCACATTACGGATTTCTAGGAATCCCATGCTATTGCAGAAACACATATTAAGAACACTCACAAAAATATGGCTCAGCAGGAAGATATGACTCAACAGAAACTGTGACTCAACTATTAATCTCAGTGACATATCTCTACTATGTCACATAAAATTTTGGAAATATAACTTCATCTTATGGCTAAAATCCTTATCTTGCACATGTAGAGATTACATATGGGCACGGTTCTTCTCCTAGCTGCCCACTTCAATACCAGCTCCCTACTTGGGGCCTGGGAAAGCAGACAAGAATTGCCCAAAGCGTTGGGACCCTGCACCCGTGCGGGCAAGCAGGCAGAAGCTCCTGGCTCCTGGCTTTGGGTCAGCTCAGCTTGTTGCTACAGCCATTTGGGGAGTGGATCAGTAGATGGAAAATCTTCTTTGTCTCTCCTCCTGTCATTAGCCGTGTACTGTAGCCACACTGAAGCCATTTTGAATATAGAACTATGGGCAACTGGAAAATCCCCAGCTGGCTAGATGCTTGGGAAAGAAGTTATGAAACTAATCACACGCTTAGCTTCAATTGTTTCTAGCAACTGTTTCAGAATGTGATTTATGCTGTACCTGCCAACATCTTGTTACTGATTACCTATGCTATGGTCGATATGCTGGTTACTATTGTTGATATGGTGGCTGCTCAAGAACAATCGGTCTTGAGACCATGGCTTGCATCCTCATTTCTCCTTTCCTCCCTAAGCCTTAGTTACTGAAGAATGTAAAAACCCTCAATTAAAATCAATAAACTGACAGCTTGATCAGACATCCTGTCTTGCTGTCCATTCTTCGTGTCCCTTGTCCCCCATTCTCTCTTAGTCCCGTTGACTGTCCTGCTGGACGGGACAATTTGGCGCCCAACATGGCTGGTGTGCAGGCCACTGACAGGGAGAATGCCACACCAAAGGAGAGGCCTCTCGTGTGGTGTTGAATAGAACACTGGGTGAGCAGTTTCACGGTTGACCCGCTGGAAGTTGTGCTCGGGGAAAATCGTGGCGCAAACCTTACAGAATTAAGGTAAGATGGGACAAGGATTATCAGAGCAAGAATTATTCTTACAAGGTCCTATAGGTCTTATAGATTCATATTCATTCATGACACGGGGAATTTGGGTGATTAAAAAAGACCTCAAAACCTTTTTGGATTTTGTTGGTTAGATTTTTCCCTGGCATCCCCAGGAAGGTTCTATATAAGTCATTTATATATATATATATATATATAAAATGTGTTCTGTAACTTGATTTAACAAAAGTAATCTGATATAGAGTGGTCCAAATCCACTGTTAAATTAACCTAGAGCCTGAGATGAATTATGTATGCTTGTTTTACAAAATATCTCCAGGTTAAAGTATTTCAAAGAAGAGGTTGGAAGTTGTAAAGGATTTAATAGTTACGTGTCTCTGTTCTGACATGTTTGGTGTTTGTGTTTATGTTTGTTTTGTCAATATTGTTGGTGTTCTATTATTTTTGTCTGGACAAAAATTAAATTTTATTTTAATACTCTTTCTCCAGTTGTGCCTTTGTCTTGAATTGTTAAGTTGTTGTTCTTGTTCTGAATTGGGTGCGTGTGTGACTGACTGACAGACGAGATGGAATGGACCATGACTAACCCCCCTTTTCTCTCCTGGTAAATAATTTTAGAGAGTTCTAACAAATTTAACAGGACCTGGCCAGACCAGAGTCCCCACCTCCACTGGGGAAATATTTGTGTGTCATTTTCTTATTGTTTGGTCTTCAGCTTACAGTATTGTCCTGGCATTGATTAGGTCTAATAACATACAGTATTCAGCATGTTCAGTTAAATGCTAAAGACAATTTTTGTTTAACACATTTAGACCTCTAAATTCTTCAGAGTTCTAAACCAAGTCTCATGAATTTGAGGGTTCTAGTAGGATCCCTGGAACTCTCAAAGATTGAGACAAAATCTGAATAATGTACTTGTCATTTAAAATAATTTGGATTATAATCTCACAATATTATAAAATTATGCTAAATTTGTTGCATCATATTGCTATTAAAGTAAATGAGTGTTTATGCTCATTGGTTCAAATGCTTCCTACTCATGAAATTGACCCAGATTGTAAATTACTTGTGTTCTTACTTACAAAGAAGTATGTGAGATTTTGCCTTGCAGGAAAACAACAAATTCTTTAAAGATGCATAGTAAAACTGCTCATAATGTGTATATTTTCTGAATGTTTGCCTTTAAAACAATGGAATAAAAGTCTGATTCCTTGTGAAAAAACAACAGTGTTTTAACATCTTCTGTAAGTTATTTTCATCTTATTAATAACTAAACCTGTTAACTAGCTTCAGTAAATTACAAGGTAGTCTCTCAAGACAACAGCCAAATTGAAGTGTTTTTTTGGCTCTTTTGACTTCAATAAGACAGAAGCTAAATAAAAGCTCCAGGCCCATCAGCCATAACACAAGGAAGAGGCATGCTTGGAGTCTGCCGTTTGAAGAATTTGGGACTTTGACTTTGCCCCGGTTGTGATAATTCTTATCTGCCTTCATTAAAAAAAAAAATACAAATCAGCTAGAAGAAGATTGAAAAAAACTTCTCTTTCCCAGTTTTGAGGTAGATTTGTGCTAAAATGTGTTTTCATGAATTAGGAGAAATAGTTGAATATTCTTTAAAGCCAATGTATTTAAAAGTTGGTATGCTTTTACT